GAAGTTAGCTTCTAAATTAACATGCGCCAATGTCGAAGTTCGGTGAGGAGGATTCTCACTTGACTTCTGTCGGGTCTCTAACTCGACAATTTTCCTTTTTAACATCTCCAACTCGACCGACTCATGTCTTGCTAGTGATTTTTCTCAATTTGCTGACGCAAGTCGGTCTGCTTCATAGGCAGTGGCAATACATGTGAGGTAACCACTGGGTTTGAATAGGTGGTGTATGTAACATAACTGGTCGTACTGGATTTGTCTGAGAGTTCCTGGCATGGTTTGGCCATTAAAGTGGAAAAGCCCTTCACAAATTCAGGATTTTGGAACAGAACAATAAAATCTGGAATCATCGCAGCTACAGTTGTTCGTCCGGCCGACCGGGCAGTATCACGACGATGTCCAACTTTCGAAGTTTGTTCTTTTTGTTCAGATTGCGACATGTTTACGTTAAAACAATTGATATTAACACATCAAATAAACGTATGCAGCTGTTGTGTAGAACGTTGAAGTTTAACTCCAAATAACTTATGGAGCCCTCCTTCTAGCACCAAACTGTTGTTATTCAAAATTGTACAACGATTATAACTTGTGACCAGGATGTAAAAGAAAGAAATATGAGATTTATTAATATGATTTTGTAGTACAAGAAGTTTGTTTAAAATGAACCGAGTTGTTTTTGTTTGTGCGTAAAGAGAAATTATTCCCCAAAAAGGATCCTCCGACAATAACAAATTCTGCTATTTATAGTAAAATAAGCTTTGAATTTTGATACGAGGTAGATAGGATTGCATTTAATGCGCAACAGCTTTTTGAAGCGGTCTGATAGTTGAGGAGGAAACATTAATGATTACACGTTTTACACGTGGTCCAATTAGAAGGACACACTGTCACCTGCTTTGAATTTCGGTCAGATTGAACCTCGGTTTGTGGGTTGAAACTTTGAAAAGTTGGTTGTCGAAGGATCTTCCGAGAAGTAGGTTATTTCTTAAGTCGAAGTCGGTCTAATGGCCCAGCTTGAACCGAGGTGAGTCAAGTTTGGCATAGGGACGAGTTTGAGCAGTAATCTTGATTAATGAATGATAATTACCACTTTAAATTCCGGCGGTTCAGGTTGGTTATCATCAGAAGACATCCATATGGTTCAAATTAGGGGATTGCGGTTCAAACCGAATTAAGGGACTATTTGCACAACTATTTGGCGTCGTCTTTGGGACGGACACAGTCTTTTACCGGCTAGAGTAGGTTGAGTTTTTGTCACAAAGTAAACACTCATATAGTTTTATTTCAGCTCCTAGCTTTGTTGTTCTTTTAGGTCCCGAACATGGGTTTTGTCCATCGTCAGCTTGACCTTCTGCTTCTTTGGAGTTTCGGTCCCCGGTATCTCGAAGTTCATGACTAACATCGACTCTTCTGCCATAATATGATGTTGAGCCTTAGCTAAAAAATCCTGATACATGGTCGGCTTGTTCTGACATAACGACCATCTTAGTATCAAATTCGACTTCAGGCTGGCTTGTGCCGGTGCCAATAGGGTCGTCTGTTGACAAGTTTTTATGTTCTGTACTCAGTCGTTAAAGCGAGTGGTGTAATCCTTTAGGCTCTCTTTGGCCCCCTGGACGATGTTGGTTATGAACTCCTTCAAAATCATGCACACTTGGGATCAAATGAAGTGGGACCAAAATGTTGACTTCAGCTGCCTCCAAGTCGAGATTAAGTGGGGGTAGAGGGAGTGATACCACATTTTGTATTTGGCCTCTAATGTTAGAGAGAACATTGCTCCTCAACGCGTCCCCGACCTTATGAAGGTCTATCCATAAAGTGTAGAGACCGACATGAGCATCGAGATTTGAGTTCTCATTGTATAACGATCTGGGGAACTTTCATCTTTTCGAGCAACGGTTCATGGAGGGCGTCCTCAGAGAGCGGGGAGGCTACATCGACGACGTAGGTATTCACTCTCCGGGAAGACGCAAGTGGTGATTTTGAACCGTATTTTTGCCGAATCTCTTGCGTGGTGGTTTTTCTGGAGGGCACGATGGCGACCTACAGTTGTGTTTGCACCGAGATTCTAACTCAGCGATCTTCCTCTTCAAAGCAGCAATCTCATCGAGTGTTGTGGTTCATTGGCTTTCCCCTGAGGATTATTAGCCTCATGTCCTATTCAAATTCTGGGCTGTTAAGGCTTCGGACGACCGTGGGAGCATGGCGACTCAACTAAAGGGTAGGAGTCGACCTGCTTTCCTCAGTTTCTTCTGCCAAAGCGGGTCTAGCGGTTTTCTCTTTTTGTGACATGGCCGCACGGTTCAGGGATTGAGCAGAGGATTGAAACTGCCCGACCCTTTGCCTTTGTTTTAGTAGCCAGTTCGTTCACTTCTCTGGAGTCCTCAAAAAATTGGTTGCTAGAGTTTTGCAGTTTCTACCGTTGTGGCTTGATTCGGTGGTACCATCGACGCTAATATTCTAGCCACTGAGCTTTCCATAATTTTGAGAAATTCGGAGTGTTAGAACAGTGCCATGAGGTCATCGAGGGGACCACGACACGTAAGGTCCAGTGCCTGTCTTCGCGCTCTGTTCGTCGCGCGGGCGTTGCGACAAGTGTCTGCTCAACCACCTGTCGTCGTGCAGGCTCCTTCACAAGAGCAATGATGCGCCGCGAGGTTCGCCGCCTACCTTTGGGGTGATGGTGGTGGCGACTCAATGGTGGTTGACGTCATTTTCCAGTAGGAAGATCTTGGATGCCTGTTAACAAGTTCGAAAATTGATTCTAAACAAATTATGGAGCCCTCCTTTTGATGCCAAACTGTTGATCAATAAATTTGATCAACCTAAATTAAGAAATTGTACAAATTATCCATGAAAATTGTTGAAAGAAACGAGTGAAAGCATGAAATTCGCGAAAATGATAAATTTTATCGAGGTTGGAAGTAAAAATTTTTGGAAGACATACTTTTTTTTGGAAGTTTGTTAAATATACGCTTAATTGCATCCATATACACATTTTCAAATAAGATAAAATTAGATATGATAAAAAATATTGTTTCCTTAAAATTTTTTATTAATATCTGCAATAATTCATTGATATCCATTATGATAAATTAGAAGATTGATTTTTCGTGATTCATGTTGATAATATTTACATTTCTATGTTCGACAAAGACTTTTAAGAGGGTAAAGTATTTTTTCATGCCGAACATTTTATAATCCAACAACTTCTTTATGTATGATAATTCTTTTATTGTCTGTTGAATTTATATTATTCCATGAATAAATAACCATGAGTTATGCACTAATCCTGTACATCAGAAATTCTATAGAACCATCGAATGATTTTCTTATGGAGTCATTCATCACTTAATGTATTGATACATGTCCAAAGTGTAGCTATTGTAAGAAACATGTCGATATACTATTAAATATTAATTTATAGTATATCCGTGCACCAGGCATCAACGCTGATTATTATTATTATTATTATTATTATTATTATTATTATTATTATTATTATTATTATTATTATTATTATTAGGTGTTACTAGTTATCGCCCCCTATTACTACGTACGACCTTTGTACCCTGTTATTTTTCCAAAAACCTCATAAAATTGTAAAATCCTCTATACCAAACGATTTTCAGCGAAAAAATGGCTGACGACATGGTGCGTTTTTTGGCCGGCCGACCGACTGGGCAATTACCGCCGCGCTCGGTCGCGACCGGCCCGCTAATTAGGCCGTGGATGTTGGCAGCCGCAATATGCGGTGAATACAATTCACTTTTTTTTTATCAGAATAGAATATAATATAATATATAATAAACACGTGATTGAACTAGAATATGAATAATGTTCCCCTACTCACGGTGGACACAAGTTAATATGCCCACCGCTTATGGCATGTACACATTGATGATATTAAGAGCACCCACAATGTTTTGGGTCTCTTAGAAAAAAATCACATGCCATGTAACAAATAGACCTAGTCTATAAAAAAATGTTTCACAATGCAATTAAAAGTGAACCTAGTCTAACTTATGTGACACTAGAAAAAAGAGACTAAGTCCATACTTGAGTCTATTTTGGACCCAAGTGCAAACCCACCTAGACATTAATTATTCACAATTTTGTTTTTCTTTTTAATAGGCAAAACAAAATTTTTTTTTTGTATGCATTAATTATTACTATATTCTTATTGCTTGTTTAGTATTCTATACCTAGTACTTTTTTGTTTTGCATTGGATAGATTTTGAATTTTTTAGCTTGAGTTTGTCCATGTCATTATAGACTTAAGTATATTTATTTGCTACATATGCAAAAAGAGACCCAAAACATTGTGGATGCTCTAATATGTTCAAAAAAATATATCACCAATATGTACATACCACGTAAGTGGTGACATATTAATATGTGTCTACGGGTAGGTGACTAATATATATAGATCAACGCTTGTTTTTTTTAAAAAACCCAATCAGTGGCAACCAACAGTTGTTCCCAGGTAAACTCGCGAAAAATGTTTATTTTGTTTTGAATTTTTCTCTTGTTTATTTGGCATATTTCTTGCACGTCGTGAGCTTTACTTAATGCTTCGAGCTTTCGGTACTTTCATGATTGAGTTTCATTCAATTACTTTGTGATAATTATAGAATTTCAATTCATTTATTAATAAAGTGGGCACAAGTAAACCGTCGCCTTTCGTTTTCTGAGGAGGAGTTGAATTCTTGATCGTCAGCTTTCGATTCACCGTTATGAGATGAGATGTACGTAAATTTGAATGCCCCTTTTAGCTATTTTGGAATATGGTTTATTTTCGTGAAGTTTAAAGTTGCTATTTCGCCATTTTTATTTTTTTTTTTAATTCAAATCACAACAGAACTAGTTATTGCTTTATTGCCATTTCTCATTAGTAGCTGGCGTAATTGCAATTTATCTTCCAATCAGCTATTTCTGCTAGAGTTTGGTTTTGGGTCTTGATTGTTTGCTATGTTATGCAGCCAGATGTTACACAACAAAGCATGACATCATCAGAATTGGCACCGGTCGTTGTCGTTCACTATGGCATTCCATCAACTGCATCAATTCTTGCTTACGATCCTGTCCAAAGTCTCCTAGCAGTAGGGACATTGTGAGTTCAAAGTCCTTGTTGCATAAATATATGTCAAATATTTGGTTTCATCTCAATAGTAACTAATGTTCAGACGGAGGATGGAAAACTAGTGTATGTTGGTGCATACATACAAATGTATATTTCACCTCGGTGTAAAGCTTCCTGACTCTGTTGTTTAAAAGCTGGTTACTAATGTCAAATAAGAAAAATAACCCGGTGCATCATCACATTTATTGTTCAGTGATTATACGTGTTTCAAGATACGCAACTTTCTTTTGCTGGTGTCTTACCAGTTCACATTTTCGGTTTGAATTATTCCCACTTCTGTAATTTGTCATCACTAGTTTTTATTCTGAGGAGAGAGAAAATGCTAGAAAATTTGGATATATATGGATGGTGGTATTATAAATTGATTACTATCGCGTGCAATTTGGTGATTCTTCCTCTTTTATTCTTTCATTGAACGTGATTGCAGGGATGGAAGGATTAAAGTGGTTGGAGGTGATAACATTGAAGGTCTTCTTACATCTTTGAAAGCCGTACCTTTTAAGAACTTAGAGGTTTGTTACAGTTTGTGTGAGGAGTTCTATTTTATCCATCTTAGCTTGTTATGCATATACCTCAGTTAGTCTATGTTATCTTTCCATAATTTTCATATGCTTTTCTTGTCTCAAGTTACACGAATTTGTGTTGAAGTTGCTGTTTTTTTTCCTATTTGTAAATGGTGAAAGGGGCTCTTGTTATTCCAGATTTGCCTCAGAGATATTATATCAAATATTTGTGCCTAGAGCAAGAAAGAATTCATTTTTTTATTGAAATGTCTGGCTGAAGTTTTAGCTTTTATCGAGCAAGAGCTTATTTTATAGTTTTTCATTAAGTTTGGGCTCTTTCTCTTCTCAGTTCCTGCGAAACCAAGGTTTTCTAGTGAGTGTCTCCTATGAGAACGAAATCCAGGTATTGGATCCAACTTATCATCCTCAAATTCTTTTTTTCTTTCTACGAAATTGTTAATATCTGTTTGTAAAAACAAATATATTTTAATTTCCTTTTAATGCTTGATACTCTTTCTGTGTTTAGATTTGCAGGTTCAAATAATCTGTTATGTTTGCATGACTTTGTCAGGTATGGGATCTCGTCAAGAGGCGTATATCATCTAATATACAATGGGAGTCTAATATAACTGCATTCTCTGTTGTCTCCGGAACCAATTACATGTAAGAGATTGACAATGTTACAGGAAATATAAAATATCAGGATTATATGAGAATGAACCTTACGCAAGAAATGAGAATGTAGCTCGACAATGAAATCTCTGTATTGTGATGTTCAACTGCACTCGTCCATGTTTTTAGTGATATAATTTGTGTGAAAATGATGCCATTGTTTTTGCATGTTATCCAGTAAAGTTTTTGTGCATGTCCAATATCACTATGCTCTGTAATATATTCTTATTTCTCGCCTATGGACTCATTCTCACCGGAATTGAACCTGGTGTGATGTGTGTGTGTGACCATAGCTGCTTGGTTCTCAGCCTAAGATGAATTGCCTGAGACATGAACTAACTCTTTCTTTTTGTCCTATTTGGGAGCCTTAGGTATGTCGGGGATGAATATGGTTTTCTGTCTGTGCTCAAGTATGATGCAGAAGGAGAGGATCTTCTTCAATTACCATACCATGTTCCTCCAAACCTTATTGCTGGTAACTGGATCTCTTGATAACCATTTTTACATATTTGCATTGTTGAGTTATTATTATTGTCATGAAATCGTATGAGACCCTTTTGTAATTGAATAAAGGGACAAGTGATGGAATACCTTGTTGAGACGTAGAAAATCTTTACTAGTTTTTTAGTTCTTCTCTATTACACTTTGTGATTGAGTAGTCACAGAGGACTACTGCAATTGTTTCACGGACTAACTTGCTCTACTTTAACTGGTACTTATTTTGTATCTTTGTTATTATAATTATTAACTATCATTTGTTTGAACGGAGAGCTTAGGTTAAAGTTTGTCTTACGAAAAATTATCTCATCTCATTGATTTTGTAGAAGGAGCGGAGGTTTCATTGCCTGATCATCAGTCCATTGTCGGTGTGCTGAACCAACCTTGTTCAGGTGGGGACAGGTAATAGATAAAGCATGCATTTTGAAAACATAATTTATTGTGTTCCGAACCTTGTTATTCACTCTTAGACTTACTCGTCAGTCCATCACTCTTGTTTGCTTTATGTTGCTTAACACAAAGGTCAAACTCAATCCATAAAATTTAAGAAACATTGGATTTGTGCTGGAGGAACCTGATAACCAAACCCAATTGGTTTTTTGAGGTTTCAAAAAATATATGTGCGAATCTTTTGATATGGATGGAACTGTTCCTCAAAATTTGTATATATTTTTGTGGAAGAGTGATAGGTATCTTCCAATACTGACATAGGTTAAAAGACAACCAACTAGACTTGTAAGATCTGAATATTTATCAACATGAATTCTCTCTATATCTATGCAATACTCTGTGCATCATTGACAGACATATTCATGAAAACAACGGTACTCAACAATCTGTGTCTGCTTCACTATAGGGTTTTGATTGCGTACGAGAACGGATTAATTATTCTATGGGATGTCACTCAAGATAAAGCTGTTCAAGTTAAAGGCTATAATGATCTGCAACTTAAAGGGGGAACCATTGTGAACTTCTCGGATGACAAGAGCCATACCTTCATAAATGATTCATTAGATAATGAAGAAGCCAAAAAAGAAATAAGCTCTCTCTGTTGGGTATCTCCGGATGGCTCAATATTAGCCGTAGGTTACGTGGACGGAGATATTTTGCTGTGGAACCTATCAGTTCCACACAATGGAAAAAGTATGAGAACTTCGCAATCAAATGATGTGGTTAAGATACAGATATCATCTGGAGATACAAGGCTTCCTGTCATTGTTCTTCGCTGGGGTCATAATAAAGCTCAGAATGGGCGAGGTGGTCAGCTCTTTGCCTATGGTGGTGAAGAAACTGGATCTGACGAAGTATTGACGGTATGTTTTTGAACTGATGGTGTAATTTTACCTTCTCACATTGTCCGAGATGTAAGCATTTTTTCCCTTTTCTATCTGCAACGGAGGTGCACTGTGGTCTTAGATATTTGTTTTTTCATTTCGTATGAGGTTTTTAATTCTGCTCTGTCTACAAGTTAGGCCTTTGTGTTGGGACATTGAGATATAATTTGTCTCCGAGTGTAAAGTGAGGTGCAGTGAATATCTGTGATTAATGGGAATCTATTCTCTGTGTATATCTATTGTGTGATCAATGGATTATGTATAGATTGAAAGCAAGAACAGGCTACTTGCTCATTCCAGGCATTTCTTTTTTTGTTTCCTTCTGAAGTCGCAAATGATCTCAAGAGATTCAGCATTTGGTCTCTTCAAGTTCTCAGCTGTATGGTCCTTATGTGTGTTATTAATGTATCTGTAATTGAGTACGGTTCAGTACGCACACAACATTTGGCGCTAGATCCAATGCTTATAATGTAAGGATCTATTTTGATGTATCTTGCGTGTCATATTATAATCTGGCTCTTGAAAATAATAATAACTGCCAGTACTTAATAATCTATCAAGTGGAACTAACAGTGGTTCTGAAAAATATTAAAATGGTTTCAGTTATGAACTTCTTATATCGATTGTTGATTCTCAAGATTTTAAACAAATTTTATATTCAAGTTAGGATTAAAGCCAAACCAAGTTTATGCATTTCTGCCAAACCTCTCTCTCTCTCTCTCTCTCTCTCTCTCTCTCTCTCTCTCTCTCTCTCTCTCTCTCTCTCTCTCTCTCTCCTTACTGTGCACGATCAAGATAAAAATATTTTTGAACTCTTGACTGAATCGTTTATTTTTTATCTCTAATCTTTAGCTCTGCATATTTCATTTTGCAGATCCTCGATCTTGATTGGTCATCTGGGTTAGCAAAGTTGAAGTGTATTGAGCGGTTTGACCTGGCACTCCATGGATCCTTTGCAGATGTAATTACGATATCAAATCCATATAAGATGGATAATGATCACATGATGTCATTTTTTGTATTGACAAATCCAGGGCAATTGCATTTCTATCAATATTCATATCTCTCTATCTTAAAGTCCAATAGAAGAATTAACCATTCCGTGCATGCCCTTCAATATTATTCAGTTATACCTACTGCAGAACCATATATGACACTGGGAAAGCTATACACGAACACGGAAGGGAACATTTTGAGTACACTATTGGAGGTACTTCTTGATATTTAGCTATGATGTATAGATATTCTTGTCTTTCTTTTTTTTGTTTTTTATGTTTTATTTTTTATTTTTTTTCCCCCTGTATGGTTCAATTGTTCATTTAAATGATCAGTGGTGGCTTCACTAGACAGTTACACCTCCAAAACACCAACTGAATGGCGGGAGTACAAAGTGGCCTTTAACAGGCGGTGTTCTTCATAGAGTGCCCACAACTGGAAGTAATAATATTAGGAACATTTATATAGGAGGATACCAAGATGGATCAATTCGAATTTGGGATGCCACATGTCCAGTGATGTCCCTTGTTTCTGTATTTGGATTTGAGGTTAGTGAAGTCATAAATCTTTTACCTAATAATACCCTTGTGTTCTCATGTACAAGATTGAGAGCGAAATTTCTTACCAATTATTCCTTGCACACTTGGAACCTATTTTTTGTGCTAGCAGATAAAAGGTATTCAAGTGGCTGGAGCAAGTGCTTCGATATCAGCATTGGATTTTTGTTCTGCCAACTTAACTTTAGCTTTTGGCAATGAAAATGGTTCTGTAAGAACTAATATACCTTTCCTCCTTGTCAATAGCATTACCAAAGATGTCGAATTGCTACTTCAACATTTTTTGCTCTCTTTTTGGCCTTTTTATCTCTTGGCAGATTTGCCTTTATAGGCTACAAGGAACCCCAAATCAAACAACAATTACCGTTGTCACTGAATCCAAATGTGAAGGTATGGTTCCCGTTTTCCTGTGGTCTTTTGTGGCTGTCCTTAGTCCTCCTCTTGTCCATTCAAATTTATATGTTAACATCTGGTTTGGGCAATTTCAGAATCTGAGTAACATTTGTATGACAATGTTTCTTCAGTGGCTTATGATGTTCTTTATAACCAGTTTGAATCAGCATCAGAGTGCTGGGAGCATTAAATTGTAAAATCCACAGGATCAGCCCTGTGATTTTACTCGTTTTTAGTTTTTATGAGTTCTGATTGCAATAAAGCGTCTAGTGGGTTTGTCTTCTGCAGATCAAGTCTTTAATATGATGCATAGTTGTAGAAGATGAAAGTAGAGAGCATTTGGGGGAAAATATCTTTTCCCTCCTGTTTCGGTCATATTACAAAACGTAGTGTATTTATGCACAAAGGGAAAACAAAAGAAGAAATACGTTTTCACTAAAGTGACTAACAACTATTCTGTAATACTAACCAAAAGACCAACTAACACAACTGAACCTGTACACTCTACAATAGCAATGGATATTTAATCAGTGAAATGACTAAAGGATTTTTAAGATAATCATAGGTCAAATGCATTTTTTTTTAACGGCTTGTTGATTGATTGATTGATAGATCAAATGCATTTTTGTAATGATCAAATGCCATGCCTGATATATTTAAAGCTTGCTGATAGGAGATGAGGTTCTGGATTCTTGTATGACCTATATAAATAATGTAAAACATCAATCTTTGCAAGAGTGTGTTAGCTTTTTCCTCTATGAATTCATTGCCATTTTAAAGATTTGAAATTTCTTAATGTATTTCATATTGGTAAGTCATGACTTTTCACCCCTAGAAGGTTATCCTGAAGTATAATATGTTCACTGATATATAATAAAGCTAATATGTCGCTGGGCGACTCACTATTACCAAATTTGTTTGACATTCTATGAATAATTGATCCTCATTGTGTGCTTCCATAATCATGATGAAAGGTGCAGCTTGTCTTAAAACACAATGTATCTGCCATGGTTGTGCATTTGAATATCATAATCAACTTTTAATACGAATTGCTTTCTTTAGTGAACCAAGGCTCTTGGATTGAGGCCATTAAGATGAGTGCAACTTCAGTAAAATATTGCTTAGGAATTAAAATTTGATGTTCTACTTCTATTTACACTCTTGAAGCAGTATTCTTACTTGTAGCTGGTTCACTTATATTACCTGAACTATTATGCAATCAAATCAAGATCTCTATCAATTCTTTAGTGAACTACAGACATATGGTATTAAGCATAGATGATATGAATCTGGCGACGAAGGTTTTGATTAAATTTCTGCATGGGTCAGAGGGCTATATATCTAAAAGGATTTATTCCTCTCTTAAAGTTAAGTATGTCTTGATCCATTTTACTTAGTTATTCAACTATATGTTAGGCGCCTAACCAAAGTTTAGTCATGCTAGATTACGTTTTTGGGATTTTTCTTTTTCAACACATACGTAACTGAAACAATTTGTTTTAGCTAGATAACCCTCCAAGCTATGCAACGTTTGGATCAAAATATTCACTGCGGGAGTTATATCAGTAGACACATTCTTATTCACTATTGTAGTCAATAACGTGCATCAACATGAGCTAACTTGTAGGTTCTTGCATCAATTATTGTTTTCAACTTTCCTTCATCATGAAGGAAAACAAATGATTCAATAGTATTACTTTTCTGGTGCTCTTGCGTGGGGCCATTAGTTACAATTATTTTATATTAAAAATATTCTCATCTATATATCATTCGGGATCATGTTATGTGATCATGTTATGGTTTATTGCAGATCATCCGTGCATGCTTGGAGAAAGTATTCATTGTTACATAATATATTCTCTATTTAAGTCTCCCGTGTGCGTGTTGCAATTTACAACATCTGGAGCCAGGCTTGTTGCAGGCTTTGAGTCTGGACAGGTTGGTCTCGTTCACCCTATTACTCAATCAATTTAACTAATTTCTGTTAAATCATTTTGATTGCTTTGCTTCGAGACCGAAACGGCAACAAACAAGTATGTTGGTTTGCTCGTTAAATCGATAATTTACAAGATCCATTGTTCTGGAAGCATTGTAATACGCTCACAATTAAGGAGGAGAGAAGGATTTTTACTTATCAAAAGTGTTGTTTATGACAATGGCCTAAATCTCTCATAAGTTCTGCTATGACTCGAGGAAGGGTGAAAATAGACTCTTACCCCCAAATAGGACTCACAAAATGTATGGAAAGTTGGCCTCTACAGGACTCAAAACTATGAATAAACGTGAGACACTAGTTGGTATGTGGAAGGTAGCAATTTCTAACTAAAATAATTCATAACTACCAAAATATCTATGATACTGATCTACAAATATTTAGCCTCTAATATACGTAATCCCAATGACTATATAGATGTTTTAATAACGTAAAATAAGTAAATAAAAGGACTACAAGATAAAAATCAACAAGAAATATATATGTATATATACGATTATTCCTCCAAGCCATGGAAATTTTAATCGAAACCTGCTCTCCCTGATTCATAGCAAAGCTTTCAGACAGATTCTAGTATGCATCCTTTCGGATTGAACATGTGCTAAAAAACCCATGTACCTGTTTTACTAAAATCTCAATTGAGAACCAACAAATCGGTACACTCGTATCAGTTATCACCAATGCGTGGCTCAAATGCGGGTTGAGAATGCAAAGCACTAATAGGAGTATAGCCTATAGGACTCACTAGACATGTGGAAGTTTTTGGAGCTTGCAGAGTAGCCATTCCTAACATGCCCCATGTAAGTCTCAAAACTACCAGTAAACACGCGAGATTTGTTGGGATATGGATCGTAATCATTTCTGACCCTAGTATGATTGATACTGATAAGAAAATATTGAGGCCCCAAACATATGCCTTCTAACGACAAAATACATGACTCGATAGCGTGAAATAACTAAATGAAATTACTTCAAGTCATACCCAACTATGAGAAAGAAGTAGATCATTGTAGCTAGATAAGCTTCCAAACTGGGCAGAATTATAATTGAAACCTCCAATAGGATTCATATCAGAATAAGAGCTCTAACAAACTTCATAAACCTAATATTTTCTCTTTCCACAGATCAGTCAAATCCCCATAAGCACCACCAAACACATCCCAATTTTCGTTGTTTTAGTTCTTGAAAACTCTGATTTACGGCATTAGGCCACTAGCAACACCCTAACAGTTCTTGCTTTTCTTTTAATATGTTTTTTCATGTACAAAATGGCAGGGCTTACTTTTGCATCTCATTCTTGTTTTCCTTCTCCTGCTTCTCCAAAAGTATAAGATGAAACTTGATGCCTTCAAAATATCTTCTCCAAAATGCCTTCATAGGGGACTATTCGAGTTAGCAGAAAACTCCAACTCTACCAGTTTGCTAATTACTTAATGAAACCTATTTCAGTACTCAAAAAATGTATTACTTAAGAGCGTTTCTCATATAGATTCTCAAATTTTTATCTATCTTTTTACAGGTTGCTGTTCTCGATAGTACTTCACCTTCTGTTTTATTTTTTACCGACTCGGAGCCTACTGCAAAGTGTTCGGCCATATCACTAGTTGTTAAAACCACTTTTGGTGATCATGAGAACAATGTAAAGGACTCTGAATATAAAACTGAAATCGAATATACCAAGGAGATTGCTATTGTCCTCAGTAGAGATGCTCATGTGATTGTGATGGACTGCACCAGCGGGAGTATGATCAATTCACTACCACTGTTTCCAAAAGAAAAATCAATCGCAATAAGTGTGCATTTATTAGGTAACTATGCATCTGTTTGCTTGTACTTTAGACTTAAATACATGATAATACCTTTGAGGTTTGTTTAATTACATAAGAATGTAGCTATTATTCTTAGTACAAATACCCAATTGACAATTGTTTTTTATTTACCAAGTTAACCCTCAAATGGAGAAATTTGTTTGGAAAAAACAAACCTCAAGGAGCCAGGAATTCACTAGGATGCCTTGATAGGGTTTTTGTGATTCAGGAAGACATTTATGTTTTTTTTTTTTAGTTAGTCAAACTTTATGATAGCATTTGAGATTATTAATATATATATATATATACACACACATATATACATACATACATATATTTGTTGAAAAAAACATTTTATGTTTCATGCACATTATATCTTCTTTTGACCACTTTGAGTTAGTGACCTCAAATGAGGGTTTTGGTCAAGAAATATAAACCTCAGTGAAGTGATTATAATGGTTCGACATGGTATTTGTAATTTTGATCCAAAATTGAGGTTTTTATAGTTAGATTAGGGTAATAAGTTGCAATAAAATCCACAAATGATGTAATATTTCATACTTGGACAACATTTTATTTGACTGATTTTGTGTAAGTGCAGAGGTAAAGCATCAATTATCTGAAAGGACAAAAGATGATTCAACTGCATCTTTCCAGCATACTGAAAGTCAAAGTCAGCCTTTGCAAACTGGCCCTCAAAATCAACATGGTCTATCGAATGTTGAATTTTTGCAGTCTCCAAATTTAGAATACATGACACTGGCCTCTCAAATTTTGCTTTGTTGTGAGGAAGCTTTTTACTTATACCCTGTAAAATCGTTCATTCAGGTATTCTGTTGTGCTAATTCATCTGAGGAGACTGAAAATATTTTTCTTGCACAATCTTCTGAGATACTTTTGGTTTTAGGGTGATAAAACATTTGTGCGTGAATTGGAGCTTGAGAAGCCATGTTCTTGGACAGAAATCATCAAGAGAGATGCAGAAAAATATGGACTTCTTGTAGTTTATCAAACTGGAGAAATTGAGTTAAGGTATTTTATTTTGTTTTTGTGAGATTTCGTTCTAGGTTGTAATAATTTCGTACACGTCAGCTTTGTTTTTATATAATGTGAAGCTACTAGGAAGTCCAGAGTTTGGTGGTTATTAAAATTCTGGAATCATTCTCTTTGTATGAATTATGTTAAAACTTATTCCATCCTAAGAGAGGTAGTTTATGTTTGAAAGTTTACAAGACAGCTATTAAAAATGAGGCAATGAGAGAAATACGAGTATAATGATGTACTATTATTGGTGCGATTAGGTTAGCCAATTGAACAACTTTTTCGTTTTGCTGATAGGTACATTAAATCTCAGTTTGCCAAAAAATATAAAACTTAAATCTTCACTAGGCATTGTAATTCATATTTTAGTAGCAGTATGATTGTTTATAATAACACTATACTGCATGTTATTTATGGAAGTGAAACGGCATCTGTAATGTAGTTTAACGAAAAGATTCAGCTTATATGGCAAGAATGGATTTTGGTTGTTTTGATAGCTAGATTGACTGACGTCATTCACATGCGCACTCACAAGCACTTGCTTGATATCAATTTCACAGATTAAGAAGCATAGTATGATTTTACAATAGATATCATATAATAAACTTTAACAGTGTTGGTTAATTTGTAAAATTAAGTATTAACTCATGATTTGTATTTTTCAGGTCATTACCAGAGCTTGAAATGTTGGGCAAAACATCGATGATGTCAATATTACGGTGGAACTTCAGGACTAATATGAACAAGACGATGAGTGTTTCTGAGAAAGGGCAGATTACCGTGGTTAGTTCCTGTACAATGATCTCAGTTTACTATATTGGTTATAGTTTCCTGAATTGGTGAACTTCATTGTCCTTGTATAGAAAATAAACGACAGTAGAACTGTTTTAATTGCGAAGTTCAAGTTGCAGAGAAAGTTTTTCTTTCATTGTACACGTCAATTTTTTGGAATGTCATTTGTTCTGTACTGAAAGATATATAGGCTTACAAGTGTTCTTCTAGGCTACAATCTTTTGGGCGTTTATAATTATGATAAATCTGTTTCAATCTCAATCACATCAGATATGTGACTTGCAACTGGCAATGTTTGCATTCTCTAGGTCAACGGGAATGAATTTGCTTTTGTATCACTTTTGGCATCTGATAATGAATTCAGGTGATTATTCATTTTTTTCTGTTTCCTCAGGCTGTCTTCCTTCATTTTTCTCTTTTTTTTTTTTGGAAAAGATGACTAGAATATTGGCTACTTATATTGATAAAAAAAATCTTTTCTAGGATTCCCGAGACTTTACCCTGCTTACATGATGAAGTCCTTGCTGCTGCTGGTGTTCCTGAAGCCAAAGTTTCCCAAAGCCAGAGAAAGGCAATAGTCACAAACATTGATCTTTTGTTACAATCGTTATACTATTATTATTTATCATTTTTTTAATATTTTCATTAACTCTCAAAGAATCATTTTTCTGCATGCCAGAGTGGCGTGCCTGAGTTTGTCAGTAATGTGATGAAGGGTTTGAAAGGGGTCAAAGAAGAGCAGGATATAAATTGCAATGAAACCCATGATTTTTTGACTGCACATTTCGAAAAAATATTTTCAAGGTTTCCATTCTCAGACCCCTTAGATGCACTTGATATAGAAGACTTGGAACTCCAAATAGGTGAGTTTACTTGGCCAATAGGGAATAATGAACCAAAGAATGATTTTTTCCTCTAACAGTTTGGCATTATTTTGCAGATGACATAGACATTGATGAATCGTTGCCTGTTCCTTCTGCATCATCCTCCCAAGATGTTACACATGAAATCAAAAGTAAAGGGAAAAAAAAAAATTAATTTTCTTTCAGCTTAATTTGACACACCCCATCACTGAGGGTCGCTCGATTATGAGAAAATAACCCAGTTCCATTTCAACATTAAACATAACCCCCTTGACTATTGTAGATCTGAAAGATTTAGGGCATGCTTGTTTACAAATTAATTTACTCACATTTAATTCATACTCAATATTTAAATCAACTTTAACTCAACTCCACTATCCTTAATATTATTCATATAATTAAATAATACAAACCAATCATTCTTACACATCACATCTACTTTAATTCACTATTTATCCACTCACATAATTTTAACCACCTATTATTTCCATTCATTTCCAATAATTTATCTCATACGGTACATCAAATCAATTGTAATCATTTTATTTTAAATATTATTTTAATACGTTATTGAAATTCCACTAACTACTAAATATACTAACTTTTTCAAAATTAACTCTGGTACTAAAAAAACTCATTGTGAAAGGATTATTTGATAAACAAGCGCGCCCTTAGTTTTTTCGACTAGTATGAATCTCAAGGGTGTGCATGTAATTAACCTTTTTTCTTTTCGACACTAATTCCATTCGTTTCTGAACCATTTATTTTGCTTATCAAGTGATAGGAACTGAGAGAGAAAGACTGTTTGAAGGTAGTTCCACTGATACTAAACCAACTGTTCGAACACGTGAAGAAATTATTGCAAAATATAGGAAGACAGGAGTAAGATCGTCGTTTGTCAAGTAGCTTATACTTGTCAAGAATTTTCAATGGAAGTTTGTTGGGTAACTGTGTAGTTGGTTTACAGGATGTAGCAGGTGCAGCATCACAAGCAAAAGATAAACTTATGGAACGGCAGGAAAAGCTCGAGGTAATCTCCCTGAAATCAAAGCAGATTATATATTTTTGCTTCTTAAGGATTCATAGGGAAAAAAAAAAAAAAAAACAAGCGATAGAACGCAATAAATATTATTTTGTTCTGTACCTACTTTCACCTAATACATATTGTGTATAATGAATCAAGAGTCCTTTCAAACTTCAAATAAATTCCTTCAAATACTCTTTCAAAAGAATTGCACAAGAATATTTTCTTCTGTGTTAACTGAAATATTTTGGGCGTTTCCAAAATATCTGTATATTAGCATATCTTTAAAAATAATAGATATCCTTTAATATTAAAAATTTAACTTCATGAAAATACCCAAATATCGTTTTAGTTAAAATAATTTGATGTCCATCACCATTATAGAATTCATAGTCTTTTTGTTTATCTTTTTTATCATCCTTTTATTTTTTTATTTTTTTTTATTTTATACATATATCGCAAATTTATAACTGTTAGTCCCTGCTCGTTCACTGCTCAGGTAAGCAAAAAATGCTTCCGGTACAAACGAACACTTTTAGGATGAAAGAAGAAGATTGTGAACAACTCAATGTATTGAGTATTAAGCTTTTCTGTGTGTTGTGTTGGTTTACAAATGAAAAACTACATCCCTATTTATAGGAACTAAAAACTACTATTCAACACTTTCCTAGAAATTACTAAAGCTGAAAATTCAGCCTAAAGGGGCTGCTATGAAGGTCCTTTGCAGCTGCAAGGAAGCTACAAAGAAAATGCAATGAAAGTGTAATGAAAGTGCAAGGAAGTTGCACTTCACTAACAAGGAAACTGCAGGATTATATCTTACAATTCTTCCCCTAATCCTGCTGTTCTTGCTTGTTTCCCACCATTCCAATCTTGGTCCTTAGCTCCATGAACCGAAGACGGCCGAGTGGCTTGGTAAGGATGTCTGCGAGTTGCCGTCCAGATTCGACAAACTCCAAAACAATATGTCCTTCATCGACACAATCACGGATAAAGTGAAAACAGGTATCGATGTGCTTGCTCCGGTCATGGAGGACTGGATTTTTTGCAAGGGCAATGGCAGGCTGGTTGTCCACCATCAGAGTTGGTGCACGAGCTTCCTCGCCGGTCAGTTCGCCCAGCAACCGACGCAGCCAGACTGCCTGGCATGCCGCTGTGGCTGCCGCCACGTACTCTGCCTCGCACGTAGACAGCGCCACAATCTTCTGTTTCAGCGACTGCCATGAGATTGGGGCCGATCCAAGGAAGACGAGCACACCGGAGGTGCTCTTCCGCCCATCAATGTCGCCTGCCATGTCTGCATCGCTGAAAACCATGAGCCGCAGCTCACTTCCGTCGCCGGTCTTGGGGAAAATGATGCCCTGATCCACTGTCCCCTTGACATAACGCAACAGCCGTTTTACTGTAGCCCAATGATCCTCTCGAG